CCATTAGTTTTGGATATCTTTATTCAATTGTTAATTTTTCAACATATTTTCTTCTGTCCATTTCTCTTTTCTGTACATGACATTTTTTTTTTGACGTTCACATAAATGAACATAACGAAACAATGATCTACATATGAAGATTTGTGCATAAAAAAAACGACGAAATATTATTCATCGATAATTTCATTGGATGATATATTTATGTATAACCTTTGTTTAAATAAGTTCATTCATTCTATTCTTTATTTATATCAATGATCATATGCATAAACATCTATCTATATTTGGTATACTGTCTCTCAGGAAAAAGTTGTTTCGTTCGGCCTATCAATAGCAGATGCACTTCTCACTGTCGCCACCTATAGATAAAAGTCGGGCAATGAAGAAATCAAAAGAATTCTAATTTATCCTAAACTAGCATATGATAAGAAATAACTTAACACTAATCTTGTTTTGGGGCAAATACATTTTATTTAAAACATTCACCACTAAGAAAGCTGTTTCCGTAGTAACGTAGGATGCTGAAATCGAATAATGGATAATGATGGCACATTTTTCAATAGGTAGCAGATATTTTCAACATATGCGCTCCGTAAAAAGAACCCATACACTGTATTAAAACCTTCTCTATATCATGGAATCTTTGATTTTTTTCTCCTACTCGTTTGTATGATGAGATACGAGGCTTTGTTTTTCAATTTTTCATACACTACGAACAGATTATTTTTGTATATCGAATGAATTTATTTTTTAACTTAAAACGAAACTAATAGTATCAAAAACAGAAATAACAAAAAAACCGCAATGACAGGAAAAAACAGTCACAAAATTGTATTACTACGATAATAACAAAATCACTAAAAAGTATTTTTACATTTGGAATAATCCAAGCACAAAAGTAAGTCGTGAACAACATTTATTGTACATAGTAGTGTAGAAAGAAAGCCTAAATCATAAATCATCAGTAAATTACAAAAACAATATTAAGATCCTACCAAACAATAAAAATTGTGGATCTAAGCGCATAACAATCAAAAAAAAAGTTCAGATTTATAATTACTGCAAGTAATAAATATTTTATGATGAATAATGATTCCTGTTATCGAAGTCAAAAGATACGAGATTTAATACCATTCTAAGTTTTCGAGTAGTGAATAAAGAAGTCAAATAATGAAGACTTAATTCGTTTGAAACAGATTCATTTGATTGTTACATCAATAGTACAAAAAATATATAGAGGGCAGTACTGTCGAAAAGTAATTTGCTTTAAGCAGCTCTCTGAAAAATCTGCCCCAAACCGGAGACACAACATTCGAATCAAAATAAAATCCTGAATCTTTCGATATAATATCATCTCATAGAATTCATTGCCCGATTTTTTCAATCAAAGTGAGAAGTGTTATAATCAATATAAAATACGAATAAATCTCATGTTAATCTACTTGATTTACCTAATGAATTATTATTTATTATATTAGATAAACTTGATAATATTGATGTTCTTTATTCACTATTTGCTATTAATAATAAACGACTTGATAGTTTAATAAAATATGAAACTTTTTTAAATACAATCAATTTTGTATCAATTGTTCATAATAAAACAAATAATTGATCGATTATGTTCTTATATATTACCTTAAATTAATTATTATATTAAATGTATTATTATTGAACCATCATTAATGGAATGTATTCTTCTTGTTACTTCTTATCCTAATTTAACTGAATTAAAAATTTTTAATTGTCAACGTGATAATTCATTAGATTATTTTACAGGTAAACAAGTGTTACAGTAAAAATATATTGAATAAAATAGATTATTTTATATATCTATAATTATATTTTAGATGAATCGACACTTAGACATATATTTAAACAAGAGATTAAAAAACTTTATCTCATCAATAAAGATCATGAACGTACTGTTGAATCATTAAAAGTTTATATAGAAACAGTCTATGAATATATATATTGACATACTTTGAAAAACTAGAATATTTGAACATTATCGAAACATCAATTTGTGCATATCCAGATTTATCAATTCGTTATTTATCATCAAATATATTTTCTTCATCAATTCTTACTTATTTATCAATTAATGTTGGAACATTAACTGATTGTATTTATTTACTTGATGGTCGTCTTAAACAATTAAATACATTTATTATTAGAATTTATCAAATGGATTTAGATTCATCTATTGTTCATAACTTAGTAAGTATATTTTATCTTTTTTCGATCATCTTGAGTGAATAAAATGTCAATCATGAATTGTAAGATCAGTTTTAGTCTAAAGAGATTGAAACTGTCCCTAAATCAATATATAGAAGTTCTTTTATATTCAGGGCGTCCCGAATGGAACGTTACACAGTCCCTTCTGCTTCAAATATCTAGTTTTAATCCTTTAAGGACCGGTGGGTCATTGTTTGAACCACCTATCCTTCAGTAGAGAAAATGTTTGTTCTTTAAGAGAAATAGATCGCCCAACTACAATCTCATGATGCAGGTTTTTTCTCTTTCTTTCTGTCTTATAGATCCTTTGCAGATGTTCTCCTTTCTTTCTATTATCATATATTAACGCATGATTTCTGTCTCTCTTCTTTCGGTGCATTATCATGAGTTTTTTATCTGACCATTTTGAGCGAAAAAATACAGCAGCTTAATTAAAGAACCATTTTTCGATTGAAAAAAATTCGGTCTTGAAAGACTTAATCAAATGAACATATAGTGAATAGGGAGATAAATGAAACGAAAACAAAATTTCTTTTCTGTATTGATTAATTAGTATAATATTTCAATAACAATAATTTGAAAACTCTTACAGGCCTCGCAGCAGTCCTTCTTTCCTTCTTTTTTTTGCTTTTTGTAGAAGTAGGCATTCAGAAACTTCAGAAAACATATGAGCAGTGCTTAGATAGAGATTTCTCTTCGCTCCAGAAAATGTTTAATTCGTCGCAAATTCAATGAAAAGCTCGCGATGCTCATGTAAAGGTATGCTTATGAGACTTCAATTTCCACGATAGGTATGTACAGGACTTGAGATTCTTAAAATTGCTCTTCGCTGGAATTTGGTCGCTACCCAAAATTGCGGGCATATACTCAGTGACTAAGCATAATCAAAATCGAAACTGAACTATATTATAGTCAGTCTTATAAATACTTTCCTCAATGATCTTTCGTCTCGTGTCGATGTTTCATCAAGATTTTTACTCAACATAATGTAAGAAACACAACTTCTGTTGGTATCGTTGCTGATAAACAGAATAAGAAAGGTAACTAACATTCGACAATATGTAAGATGGTGCTGTAGAGGAGAATAGGTAATAGCTGTAAATCAGTTTCAATTAATCTCAAAATTAACTGCCAATTTTCTACGCAAATTAAGTTGGTAAATGAATTCCAGACATGATCCAAGACTCCTCGGTTTGAACTATACTTCTTATGTTTTTCGAGTTATCGACCAAGAGGCATGTCATCTTGGTAATGTCATGTAGTCATTTTCGAAAAAAGAACAGAAATACGTTCTGGGTTTAGCGTCGGATATTCTTATAAGACGGAAGTCGACACATAACAACGCTACTTCAAATTCATTTTGTTGGTTGAAAAAATACATGATATTACCTAGTCGACAATACTCTGAAATCCTAGCATACTTTATTTTCTCTTTTGCGAAACCGAGGCTTTTGACTTCCATAGCTTCCTAGACGGATTTTTCGATTTAATTCCGATGACTGTATTGAAAAAGCTCTGAAAAATCTTTCTGATTATGCTATCGGGTTCCCAACCGGACTGTTATTTTATTCTGAAAATTTAGGTCCATTTGTCGACTTGCAAAAAAAGTTGATAATTTCGCAACGGCTACACAAAACTCTGACATCCTATCAAAGGATATTTTTGATAATACAGGAATTTTCGTAATCAATATAGGGCACAGCTAGACATGAGCGGGACCAGCCTTTCTTGATCCCTGTCGCACTCAGAAAAAACTTTTCCTAATTTACTTTCACATTTTCTAGCAGAAAATTCGATATAATTTTCCATCTGCGTTAATAAGTTTGACAAATCCTACTAATATACTACAATTAGACATACGTAGATCAGTTGCTTTTAGTCTTGGTCTTAACGAAAGAAAAATTCTGGTCTCGGGAATAAGACCATTATCCCCATGTCTAGGTAGAGCAATACATGCAAATGAGGAACATGTGTTACATGTAGAACTACCAGAAAAATCACTGAAACATGGGAAGAACAGTCACACAGACATATCGCATAACAAAGAAACAACTGCTTATGTTAACAATTGATTCCCGTCTGAGTTCATTCCTATCGTTAACTATTTGATGACTAACATAATTTTACATTTGCATCGAAGAACTCCTGAAAAATCCTTCTTTTCCTCCTTTTTTTTTCGGGTTTCCTTCTCAAAATCCTTCTTTCTAGTGATCCCAGACTACGACCCCTGCTCTTATCTCAAACAGAAAAATAAACTTATTAATAAATATAATTTTTTTTTAAATTAAATAGGATGATTTACCTAATTTAAAGTGTTTCTCATTAATACATTATGGTTTAATTGAAGAATATAATAATATAAATAAATATCTTTTACATCGTATGTTATACTTGGAAAAACTAACATTATATTTACGTATCGCTTGTCAACCTGTATTTATTGATCCGATTTCTATTATAAATCAATTTTCTATGCATATGTCACAACTTAATTCATTTAAGTTTTATCTTAAAAGTACTGAGAACAATAGAAATGTAATGGTTCGTTATTTGTCAAATAATAATATAAAACGATATAATAATAATAAAGAATATAAAGACCTATCGGATATTATTTGTTATACTTCTAACATAGCTACATATCATATATTTACTCTTCCATTTGAGTTTGCTGTACTCATGTCAATTGGAAATATATATATGTATTCTGGATATGTTCAAAAAATAAAATAAAAATAAATTATTTATTTTCCTTTTTTTTTGTCAAAATTTAATTTTGATCAAATAAAATTTTCGTTTCACAGCAGCGAAAGAAAGACAACCAGAATAGGTGTGGATGTAAGTAAGAGTCGAGAAAAGACAAACACCCAAACTCCAGTCTAGTTTTCGTTTTACATACGCATCAGTCACTAATTGTATGTGATTTAAAACGACTGACAGGTCATTATTTCGGCGAATACATACATGAAAAAGAAAGTGATAGAACGAAAGCAAAGTTGGTTGTTTAATTGATTTTGTGATAAGCGTCTGTAGTTTATTACTGCTTATCATACATATTATTCATCAACAGGCCAAACAAAATAAATCGTTATTAAATAAATATAATCAGAATGTGTTCAAAAAATAAAATAAGAATAAATTATTTATTTTCCCTTTTTTTTTCAAAAGTTAAATTAAATCAACGAGTTTTTTGTTTAGTCTTTAGAAATCGATTACATGAGAATGAAAACAATGCTCAATGAATCATTCATATATACAATTCTCAAGATATATCAACTGCTACATGAGGGTGTGGGTGTGTTGTGAAGATAGTATCATTTATTCACCCACACCCACACCCTAGACTAGTTTTCAGCCCTTCAGCTCATATTGTGACTGAGATCCAAGGCGAAGGGGAATACTTTTGTCGGATACTATATTTCTTTTGATGTGTTCAAAAGTTAGAATTCCTTTCTGTTGTTTGTTCGATCATATATAAACACCAGCAGGTTAAAGTTGAATTTTATATCATAGAGAGACGAAAGCAATACCTCTCATTTTCTGTTATGTTATTGTAACATAGTTATAAGTGACTATCTTCGACTGATACGTTTGACTATCTTTAAAATTATCAAAATAAGATCGTTTGGTGATAATGCACCTTTGAATGCAGTATACAGGGAAAAAACCATGTTTAATGACGTTTTTGGGTAATTACTTTGTAATTGCGATCAGATATCTCTTGCTGACACATTAAATTGTACTTGAAATTTTTTTTTTGACCTATGTGTGACGATGTTGAAGCTTATATAAGGGTCGATAAAAACAAGTTAGTGTTAGTTGAATATACACCACACTAAAAGTAATAAACGTCACTATTTTCAACAGCATGAGTTTTTCAATCATCCTTATAGCAAGTTTATATGCATTACTAACAACAACAGTAAGTAGATTCTTTATGTTGAATGAGATTTTAGACATTGTCTATGTTTTTTCATTTTTATTAAGACTCCATCAACAGCAGAAACGAAATGGGAAGAGAATCGTAAGTTGATGATTAAATGAATTTTCTTAGTTGAATTCATAAGGAACTACACGATCACTATTCACTTCTCTTTCCATCGTACATTACTTAGAAGTCGTTCTGGTACAGATGATTAACAAGGAGGTTGTTCCCATCTAAAAGAAGAAAAATGAAAATTGAATCAAATTCATGTGGACTGACAAGATTTATTATCGTAACTTTTACAAGTTTTCGCCTAACATGAGACATATTAACGATGCTATAGCATTTGAATCGTCGTTTTCTTTATATAATGAGAACGGGTTGTGATGAAAATCTTCTATTCTTAAGAGCTTCCATACAATGCGATGGAATAAAAAGAAGAATAGATATAGTGTTCTCTAATTTGACTCAATGAAACTTCTATATTAATTTTTTTTGTATTTTTAAGCGGGAACAATAGAAGGTGATATCAGGCTTCATGAAAAACCAACGGTAAGTTGATCATGATAATTTTTGATAACATTTTTCTTTCTTTTTTTTTCGATAAAATGAAGCGTGGAGTCGCAACTCGTGATAGAGGTGCACGTTGGACAAATGGAATTGTTCCCTATCAATTTTTACCCGGATATAGTATGTATTATCACAATACTATTAATATGATTTTTATTGTTCAGCTTAATATAAGTTGAATATAAATGATTAGAGAAAATATTCTTCTGAAATTATTTTCAATCAAACGATCATTTGATGTAGAACAATATATTTTTCTTTAGCGACTGAACAACAAGCAAAGATTATTAGTGCAATGCGAAGATTGGAAAGTACAACAGCTACTAATACTTTTCGTTGTATTCAATTTCGACCCAAAGAGCCATCTGATCAGTATTACATCACAATTATAAATGGATTGGGTTGCTGGTCTTATGTATGTAGCATGTATAACACGATCGGTCTATATTCTGCACAACATTGTTTTTTCTTTTTATTAGATTGGACGACCTTACATTCCTAATTACAATCATACAGTTATATTAAATAGTTCTGGTTGTCTTGATGATGGACGAATAATGCATGAATTTATGCATACATTAGGTAAGCGCTGTCATCTATTATTTGACATCGTTCTTTATATTATCGAAAGCGTCTCGAAAATGCTTCTTTGGAGATTCTAATATTTTCTTGTAAAATACCATATATTCAATCGAAATATAAATGGTAAAGTTTATTGTCGAAACAGAATGATATAGACTAAGAGCAGAATAGTTTCACAGAAAACTGAATAATTAACTAAAATAAAAATAAGAATTCAGTAAGAATTATGGAATATTCATAAAATAGCATCATCACAATGATAGAGTAGATTGAAAAAGCAGCGTTTATGACATTCTGCCTTTGAAAAAAGAGAGTTAACGATTACTGGGTGACGATGAGATTGATTTACGGTCAGTATATGATAATGGCATTTATGAACGAGCAACCAGTAAATCATTCTACAGGAAAAAATGTGTTGCTCTTTGCTTCGTTCAATTCGCATGTAACAAATAAAATTATATTGTTGATGTGAATTTATATACGCTCCTATCCATAATAAAATATTCCAGGTTTTCTATTATGTTCAACTTATTTTAACAACTTTGAATTAGAAAGTCTTTTTAGAAAACCAAGATGACTTTGAAGATTTGAATAGAGATTTTTAGGATTTGATAAGCATAAGTCTGATTTCGAATAAATTCATTTCAGATTTTCAGTTCAAAAACCGAAAAATAAGACATATTATGGTGTAAATTCACTAGGTACCATTCTTACTTTTCGAAAAATTTATTAATTAAATAGAGACCTTCGGTTATGTAACAATCTTCTCATAGAAGAAAATTTTCAATTGTAGGGCGAAGTATAAAACATAAAGAGAGAATATTATACAACTCACATCCATCCGATATCTTAGTAGGACCTAATCGAATACAACAATTTCTGTAAAACTCAGTTGTAAAAGTATACTAAAATATATATGAAGACATTTGAATCCAATTATTTGATTTACCCTACAGATTGTCGGAGACATGATGAAACCTTGTCATTTAGCAATGGACTGATTCTGTGATGTTTCACATTTAAATTGTATAGAAATCGTGATGAAGTCTTTATTTGCTTGAGTCATATATGTGATTTATTAAACAATCATAAGTGGAACATTGAATATGAGTATGAATTTCTTTTTGGCCAAAATTCAGAAAAATACGAAGAAAAAGGAGAACAACCTAAATAAGATTTTCTAACGCTTTTCATATCGAAGTCATAGTCTTTCTGAATATGCTACAACATTTTGTATACCAAACTTTTACATATTAAAAATAATCTTAGAGTGTAGATAATGTAAGTGTAGGTGTCGGAGATACAAAACAGAACACCCGCATCCTCCACTATAGAGATGTTATTTATGAAAGAAGGCTCGTGAAAAAATGTCTACTATGGAAATTTTTACTGTATATTATTCTTTGTATAAAAATAGGTTTCTGGCATGAACAATCACGTCCCGATCGTGATTCATATGTACGAATCTATCCGGAAAATATACAAGTTGGTAAGAATTCATATTTTTATGGGAAAATTCCTGTGCCCATAATGATAATAATAATTTATTGTTTTCTTTCTCATTCTCAGACATGGAAAGCTATTTTCAGAAGAAGGATAATACAGAAGTTGACACTCAGAATACACTGTACGATTATGACTCCTTAATGCACTACCCACGTTATGCATTTTCTAAAAATGGTTTACCAACAATTGAAGCAATTCAACCAAATGTTATGATCGGACAGCGTCTTTATCTAAGCCCAACTGATATTCGAGAAATTCAACTCTACTATAATTGTACAGGAAGTGGATCCACATCACCACCAACCACAACAGTTATTACGCCTACAACAAGTAAGAATATAATAACTGAATTATAAATATAGAAACCTACAGTTCTTGGGCTACAATACTATAGGACGAGAATAAATATAGGCATAGGGAAAGGAGAGAAATCGATCCTGGATTCTCGAGTTTTGACGGATTCCAATTGAATTTGTTACTTTTGATAGGTTCTACGTAGGTATGCATCAGTAAGTTAACTGTATATCGACTGTCATATTGATTCGAATACCAGTTAAACTGATGTCTGTTTAACTGGCTACCTACTTTAACTGTTTGCAGAGTTAATTGCTACTAGCTGACCGATAGAAAACTCTTATTCAGTTATTCAGCTTCATTTTAAGTGATTATCCAGTTAAGCAGTAGCAATGCACATCTAATTCTAGAATGTATTCATTGAGCAGCATCAAAATTCATTAGAACTTACTAAAATTCAAGAAAAACCACTGATCTCTATTACCATTCACTGAAGGTCAAAAAAACTCACTCTAGTCTACTAAGCATCATTATGATATTAAATCAAGGACGAAAAAAGGGATTATATTGGATCGTAATAAATGCTGATAACCACTACAATCATGAGAATCTTCCAGAAAACTGTAATTCCAGAGTTCAACTCTCCCTTTTATTATCTTTTTTTCTTGAATAGATTTGACTAAATAGACAGTTTTCATTCTACGATACGTTTGAATAGACAATATGTAGTTAAAATCAACATCACAAATCTAAACATAATGCTAAATTTTCTTGCATATAACACGATTGTTAATGAATATTGAAGTATATATAGAAAAAAAAATCGACCTCCTTCTTTCAAGCCAAAAATTTCCAGAACAATACAAGCACTTTTCTTGGAACATTTTATAAACATCCATTTTTTTAAGAACCTTCAAAAAGACGAAGAAGCGGACATTTAAAAGTATTCGGCGACGAAATATTATCATAGGTCTCGATCTGACTGATGAGAAATCATAGTGAACGTGACTCCAATATTGGAGAAAATTGCGATATGTATAATTGCAAGTTTTAATACTCTTCGAAAGCGAAAAGAATGCCGACATTATATTATGACAATCGATGATCGAATAGAAAAATAAAATGAACAGAAATTGATTTATAAGCATAGTCATAAATGATAAAAGAAAGTAGAGTGTCAAGAGAATAAGTATGAAAAGAAAAATAGTACAGGAAAAAGTGGACCGATGCAATTCATAGTATCAGAACACCTTTTCATCACCATTCAAGCACCTTGATACTTTTTTCGACATCATCTTATATTATTTGGTGGTAAGCTGTTGCACTTATTCTCTTGTAAAGGTATTAGTCTGAGAGAAAAGTAAAATAGAAGAAATAGATGTCTGTGTTTTCCTCTCGTTCTTCTATATTAACTGTCTTTTTTTATAATTAGAGCAAAAAACCACATATAGTTAAAAGACATTGCAGTCGGTCTACTAATATTTTCTCACATAGAAAAATCCTAAGAATGTTTTCTTCGCATTTCGAATGTTTATTCAATTTTCAATTTTATTTCATATGATTCTTTTTCATGAAAACGAGTAAAAAATCCGTAACTGATCTAAAAAATCGTTGACTATAAGAAAAAAAAAACTATAATGATAAACAGAGAAAAAGCTGGTCGTGACGAGTCCACTTCGAACTTTGGTCTAATCCAGTTCGATAGAATGGATACCAGCTCCATTGCGACAGACAAATATCAGAAATCGGTTTTACTAATCTATCAAAGTTAAACATTTTTACAATTTTTTTTTCTAATCGAACAGCATATCCAAGTATAATTCCGTCAATTTATTCGGGTGCATTAACAATCAATAATCCAAAATATTCTCGTCTAAATGGTTTAGTTGGAAACTACTATTATGATGTCATAAAAATAGATGTTGTTACACCAGGAAGATATATTATTGGCAGCAATAGCCTTATTGATACTTATGGCTATTTATACACCATCAATTTCGATCCAACTAAACCGTCTCTAAATTACTGGTTACAGAATGATGACATGAATACAAATCTACAGTTTGGCTTTACAATGAACTTTACATCTAGTTACACTTGTTTTCTGGTGATTACGACATATAGTGCAGAGGTGATGGGAGCATTTTCGGTTGTCGTGACTGGTCCAGCTGCAGTAATCTTCACTCGCATGAGTACCGATATGACAACAGTCACTACAAAGCCCACAACAACATCAACGAGCACACAGACCACAACAACATCAACGACCACACGGACCACAACAACATCAACGACCACCCCCCAGACCACAACAATGAGCGGTTAGTCAGCAATATTTTGATATTATTCTATGAAAAGTTACTGACTTTTATAATAGTTCTTTCTTGCAATTTATAATTCGATACTATCTTAATATCTGGATCCTTCAAAATGTCATATGGATGCTTTCTCTGATCAGACACATAGTCAGAAACTTTCTGAAAAGCGCGCAAATTTCTAAAAAGAAAGTTCATTATGATCGAAAAGCTTTTTTCAATTCTTTTTGGACTTTTAGAGTTTCTAAAATTTTACAAAAGAGAATTCAAAGATAATATGTACAGTGATAGTTATTATATTTAAATTCAAAAGTGAGAAGACACTTCATGCTTGTTACCTATTACATTTAGTTAACACTCATGTCTTGTACTTTTTTTTTTGCATATTGAAACATTTCGAAATATTAATTAATATTGCAATATTAAATTTTCATGATTTTATTTTTCTGTTACAGTGATTCCTTTATCAAAATGTGCCAAAGTAACTGCTTCTAATTACACCACGGCAGGTTATGGCTCGCCTATGTATCAAGGAAATTATCTTGTCGATCGACAATCAACTGGTCTCGGATTTAACTCTGGTGGTTTTGCTCCTCAATATATTCAGTTAGAGCTTCCTCAAGATAGTCGTGTTCGTGATATATGTCTACAAGTTAATCAATACCCCAGTGGTACGACAAATCATCAACTGTTCGTTGGTTCTGACTTGAATTCCATGCAATTAATCAGAAACTTAGTCGGTACAACACAAGCCGGACAATGGATCAACATAACATTCAATCCACCATTGAACAAAATACGTTTTCTTCGTGTCAACACTACATCTAGTCCAGCATTGGTAGGCTGGTTTCGCTTTCTTGTGTATGGTGACTACGTTTTCGAATAAGTAGCACAATTTATAACAAAATACTCTTAAAACATTGATCGAACATAACTAATTAAGGCTCCCTCCTCAAAAATCGATCTCAGCTCAGAAACATTAAAATGCCATAAAACATTGAGAATATGTTGGGGATGTAAAAGGACGTCTGTGGTAAAATTTTCAGCCACCTATCCTCATGTATAAGATAGCTACGAACCAAACAAGGGTCGAAAAATAGCTTATCGCGTCTCCAAAAAATCTCTACGAGTGTTCATTCAATCTGGTTGATTGTTTTTTCATTTGAAAGACCATGTTAGGATGCAGTGCCCCTGAAGGCCCTTTATTTTTATTCTTATCTTTATGAAGAAAAAAGGTTTCATAAGTTCAGTCACTCAAAAACGCCTCAAAAAAAGTGGCGCTCGTGTAATAAAATGACTTATCAATATAATAATAACAAAGCTTTATCAAAAAAAAAAGGGCTCTCATAGGCATGCAGTTTTTGATACTCTTTCAAACAAACAAAAAAAAATATTTGACTTTATGTCGCATAATAGTTGATTTTCGTTGGGCATGCGTCGTTCGATCATCACTTTGAGAAAAAAAGAAAAAGATTTTTAGATTTTTCCAAAAACCGCTAGGCTTTCGAATAGGGGTTGTCGAAAATTTTGAAAATTTTTCGGAAAAAAGAGGGTATCGAAGAAAAATTTTTATCGTTTATGCAAGAGCAAATGACAAACTAACTCTCTATGTATTTATCTCAATTTTAATGATTCTGACGAAAAGTGATATTTTTGAGGAGGAGCCTTACGCTAGTGAAAGTTTGAATTTAGGATAATTATAACTATATGTAATAGTTTTTTCTAACTACCATTTTATTTTTAATTTCATTTTATTCTTAATTTTTTTTTGTTTTGTCTATCTCATTTGAATAATAAATTAATCTAGAAAAATAAACAAAAAGTAATAAAAAATGTTGGAGTTATAATTCATATGAGTTTGAATCAATTGGATTCATTTATTTTCGAAATAGAATCCAATAAATTTTTTATCCGATGATTTGGTAATCTAAATCATAAAAAACGGAAATCGCTTTGCTGTTTGATAAATCTATAAAATTATAAAGGTGAATTTTTGAAAGAACTTTATTTCGTCACAATATGTCTACGTCAATGTCCTTTTTTTATGTTGATTTTCAATATGCGATATTTTTGCTTGTATATTGGGATATGCTGATAAAAACTGCTAAATATTAGCAGAAGTTTAGCCACGTTTTTACGACTTTTTACTAGTACCAGGAAGAATTCAGTTTTCTCATTCCAAAAAGGAGATTGTCCAAAGTTCACGTATCATTTTTCTAGTATATAAATATATACTGACTATCAGTAAGTAAAACAGAATCATTCGAACATCTTCTTACGAAGAATTAATGTCTTTGGAAGACATTTCAATGAAGGGTGTAGGTGAGAAGATGATCCATCCACTCAATTCATCGAACGATGAGCGGAATACACTTCGTTGTCATAGATGTAGACATAGACGCAGAAACGACTAGATGAAGCCAAATTACTCATTCCTGCTAACCTACATACTCATATCTTTCAATAGTTGAAAGGTTAGGGACTGATCAAGTTGATACATGAAGCATAGGCCAATAAACGACAACACGTTTATTTCATCATGATAATAACGCAAAAGCAATTATAACACAAATATTCCAATAAATGAACTATAATTTCGATTTTAAACATATTGTTTCAGTTTTTAAACCATATGTGTTAAGAGAACAGTCTATAAATGTAATTCTATGAGTCAAATTGGAGAAAAATAAGCAGTGTAAGGTTTCATTTATGATTTTTCAATGGATTGGAATGTTCAAAAATGATAGAATAATATTGTTTTTTAGTAAAATATCAGACATCTACCAGACTTTGTTTCGGTTCTTTTCCAAATGTACATTTTATTCCTAGAAATGAATCTTGAAACTATTTTGGATAAATTTAAACAGTTTTTAACTATTTCATTGTTGGATAAACTTTGTTTCAATACTGATCATAATGGAGTAACTGATGAAAGTATTGAATTTTTTAAAATCAAGCGACCATCATCTATAAAATAGATCATATATTCGCCTCATTCACTAGTCGGAATAAGTACAACTGCATTCCTGAAATAGAACAAAATTTCTCTGCTTCGTCATTCAATATCGAATAAAGATCACAAACTGAATCTAAGAAGTACCTTGATAATTTTACGATGTTTATTTTATCACTTATTTGATGCTCACGATCAAATTAATTAATGAATTTTTCTATGTATCTCTTCACTGAAAGGAAATTATTCTTGACTACATCTCTACGATAATATTTGTAATTTACATATGCAATATCATAATAAAGCTTCGCAATCATATCTGTATAACCTGACCTTTATCGATATCTTAAACGGTTTCTGAATACATGATAATCTTCATTGATTTCGTCTGATAATATTATAGCTTGCTTTTTGATTGTAGCAAGTTTATCTATTCTTCCGATCTGAGACAATCATCTTTTTTTCAAATATTTCTTTTTGCAATTCATTCTTCATCCCTTCCTTCTCTATTTCTTAATTTTCATTTCCAAGATATAATGTTATTATTAACAAAAGAACATGTAAATGATCGAGCCAAAATCTATTGTTGATTTGTGGTGTATGTGAGTTCGGTTTATTAGTGATATCTTAGTTATGATGACAAACAAAGAATAAGAGAAGAAGAGATAGAAGGAAGAATGATTAAAGAACAAGATAACGAATATAATATCTGATATCTCTCGACTAGAACGAAGACGTATATAAATAGCCCAATCCAAAATTCGTCCAGACGAAATTGAAATTCTAATGTCGACCGCGACGATTATGAACAAAATTAGAATTCTGATTTCGACCAGACGAAGTTGGAATCATTTTTCATGAATGAAACAAAATAAAGAAAGACATAATTAAAATACCAACAACTATAATCCGAACAATTAAAAATGGAAGTTGAAATTTTACTTTTTTTAATTTCATGTTGATATATTCTCTTGTTTTTATATGCTATAGACTGATATGGATTGGCCATATAATTTACCATTATAATCCTATAGTGGCAAGGTTTCCTCTCTATTCATTTGTTGAATTTTCTCTTTATTTATTTTAACGGATATTATTTAAGGTGTGGGTGTATAATGAGTGTCAGTGTGAGTTTTCTCTTCGTGCCCACACTCACACTCACATCCTCTTCAATATCCACAATACGAATCTTGACTAATTAATCGCAGAGGCGTAATGTGCTTCACAAATTTACTTGGAACGAAGACACGAGAGAGTGAACAAGAAATAGAGAATCAATGATCACTGTGTAACAACGAATCTTGGCATTGCATTCATCAAGAAGGCGCATCTCTTTCTCTTCATATCTATCAAAAGGATAGAGATACTACAACTTAGTGACATTCGAACTTTCATCAACTCTCTCAATGACCATTATTCTCTGCAGCATTAAAGAAGCAAATGTTTATTTTCACAGATTATTTAGTGTAGCAAAATGATTCTTGTCAGGCATTTTTCACTGACAAGTTATATCCAACCAACATCGAAGCTTGAATTTTCATTCATCAGTGATATGTCATGTATATTTTCATAAAGACTATTAATACCTCTTCATTAAAGTACAGACAACGTCATATATAATGCATTAGAAAAGTAACGAACAAAGTCGTCTGCATCCATAAAAGAAAGAAGGCATTATTATTAACACGCGCACAATCATCCGATAAGATTTTTGCAAAACAATTCAAGCGAGATTGTTGAAAGTCACGTTTCTGTTATAGGCATATTTTAATCTCTAACTTTTTCTCCGATTCACAGTAAACTACGTCATAGACTTCTAAACAACATGACATCAGTTTGTGTAGGCATGAATATCATTTGAGTTCAGTTTTCGCGCCAAACTATGCCAGGATGTACCTACCCCCAACTTTGGATAAACTTTTGTGTTTTCTCCGCAGATAATCCGTGAAATTTTTTTCGAGTTTTCTTCAAAAATCTTATCTAAGTGTGTACTACATCTACTACAGTGAAAAAAAAAGTTTTGTCGCTCGGACTGCGAAAAAATTTCTTTTACTCCTCGTAATTTTCATAAACCAGGTCATCTCTCTCCCTCTAAATTATGGGTGAAATCATCTGTGAGTATTGATAAATGTCGATCTGAGTCGAGCTAAGCTATATCATCGAATAGATCACATCAATCAATATTGACTGGTTGTTATCTTCGCAATGATGAGAGATTTGTGAGAGAATGTAGTTGTATCGCTCGATGTATTGCAGTCATTATTAATTTTCAGATTGCGTTCGTCCATGAGAATATGATATAAAAGCAATAATATTGTTCAATAGCCAACACTAAGTTGGATAATCACTTCTCAGGCACTGACATAAACTAAATTAAAACGTGAATTTCTCTCTAATGAGTGTAATTGGACTGGAAAACTCCGGAAACTCTTTCATTCTGCTGCTTCCTATATACGTGCGTGTCAGAAGACGATTCAACTCACACAGATTCTTTTAGCTTGCTCTTTCTTAATAGTTTCTCTCTTTCCTCTCTTCCCATGTTGCCGAGAACACAGTATGACGATCTTCGTTTGTTTGACATTTTGTTTTTTTTTCTGCAGATCGCAATATAAACACAATCACACGGAAAGCTTAAGAAAAATTATATATATCTTCTAGTTCTAGCCTCTGGTGAGTTTATCGCAGACTCGTTTGCGTTCATCTGCAAGTAACACATAGGATCATTAAAGTTATTCAACCAAATCTCGCGAGACCAATGTTTTCGGCAGCAACATGTCTTGGAATTATCAATTTAGGTCTAGTCATTATTGCTATACTTATTTTTTTATTAATTTTCATTATCGTTTTCAAATGTCGTCAAGAACTAAAGGATATATCGTTGGTATTAACATGCAATACTTGCCTGGCTGTACTTCTCACATGTATTGCAGAATGTGTCATGACTATTTCTAATTTAACGACGGGATTTTTAAATGATAATCTTAACTTTTGTTATGGATGGGGATTACTCTATGATATATTTGAATGTTCAATTTATCATAGTTATTATTTACAAGCATTCTTTCGTCTATGTCGAGTTATATTTTACAAGAAAAAATCTCTACTGTCTTATTCCTTATATATCATATTGATTAATGGACAATGGCTAGTCTCCATTGCCTTGATTTTACCAACACTTTTCCTCAAATGGTACATTCGTTTACCAACGGAGACCTATTGTCTTATTCCATATACTGATATAGGTGCATCAATATATCTCATCATTATCCTATATCTTATTCCGTTAATTTCTATTACATTAATCTATGTATGGATAACGAAATTTATGCGTGGTTCTGCACGCACAGCAACACTTATTATAACTGCAAAACGGCGACGACGAAACTTAAGAGATTTAACAGTTATAAAGCGCATTGTTGTATTAATATTAATATTAATAGTGTTACGTTGTCCAACGATCATCTTTATTATATACGGAGTCGCTAATGAACAATTATATCCGTTAACATATGCGATCGTTGGTTTGATCACATCAGCATGTTTAACAATTATTGGATTGATCACAATTTATATAACACCACAATTACAAAAGACTATTTTGATTTTTCCATTTTATCGAGACAGTCGAGTGCATGTACAGCAAATGCCATTACGTCATTTAGAACCAATAGAACCTCCACAAGGCAACATTAGTAGTACTGACAAGATCACAACCACGAACGTGCGAAAAAGTGCCATTATAGAGAACAAATTCTAATAACATTTTTGTTTTCAATGACAATCTAACATCTCCTAACTCGCTTGTCAATACAAAAATCTCTATATTTGTCTGCAATAACACTTTCTTGGCTTTCTTCGTTGTCTGAACAGTACAGTCCATCAAAATGATCACTTCTCTTGATTATTGATTCGTAAAGAACACTATAGCCTCCTTGTTTCCCCCTTTCGCGTACACTCTTTCTACATAATCTATGTAGTGTGTCATGTATATTATGTTTATTCTATTATCTCACCATATAACGAATTTTTGTCATTGTCATTTTTAAAACTTTCTGTTTCGTAAGCTATATATTAGTCATTTGACTGCTTTTTGGCTATGGTCTTGGAATCTCAAACATTGTTGAGCTTTTTCTTCGAAATGAACAAGAAATGACGAAGAGATAAAAACAGGACAGGAAGATGCAATGGCATCCACAGAAAAAAATTATCAATAAGCTTGTAATCAATTGAACTTAAGACTTAAATATAGAATGACCATCTTTATTCGAACTTGTTACATAGACGCATGAAGAGTTTCTTAAGTCTATCAACAATTAAAATGGCTTTTTACACTACTACATGATATTAGTGCAGTTTATTTTTAATGAAAAAAAATGTGATGGACCAGATTTCACATCAAATTGAAGAGATGTGATTAAATATCGCACAATATCCAGGACGACATTCATCCAAAGCGCTAGCATTATGTGTCTTTGCCACTTCAAATTTTCAACTATCCTTTGATTGATCTGATTGATTTTTGACAGTTAGGCGTATTTCAGAAGCAAATGGCTTCAGCTTATTTAGGTGATATATCTGGTCCATACGATCGTAATCTAACACGATGGAATGAACTTCAACAAACAGTTTCAATTGTAGTTGATATTGCATCTATGCAGTCACACGCTACTCCCCGTACCCTTGCCCAGCCTCACACCTTACCACATGTTTGATTTTACTTTACATTGTCTCGGATATTGAAAACAATATATGAATGAAGAATAATCTATGAGTTGAAATCAAGAATATATAAAAGAACGCTTTTATTTCATGATTATAGTATTATCTTTTTATCTTAACAAAATAAAAGAAACATTAATGTACATATAAATTTATGATAATCAAAGTTCTATAGATTCTCCATTAATTCGAACATTGACCATCTTTTCACCACCAATATTATTGGAATAGTAGGTGCGGATGCGTGTGGGGTGTGAGGTGTAGATAAAGCAGATAGATATACCGGCACGCACACACCAACTCTTAGCGCTGATGGAGAAGATTGCGGAGATTTTTGCTGAAACGAATGCGCTGTGAAAACTGTAGCGAATTGTGCTCGATACATCATGTTTTCTGGCCAAGCTGCAGCCTTTGATAATGTCTATTTTGGGTAGACACACGTGCTCATCGAGGAAAGAAAAAGAAATTACACTGTACTGTTGTCTTTGCACAATAAATATTGATAGAAAGAGTTAATGATATTTTTGCCCCTGCATTATACTTTTTTTCTCTCATAAATCACCACGAATCAGAATATTTTTGAAATAATCACCTTTTCATTAAAGCAAGATGATGAGAAACAAATTTACTATATTAAAAAAAACCACGCCACAACGATAAGATAAAAAAAATGTTCTTGTAGTATAATTTTCGTACTTTTATAAAAGTAGCCATGTAAGTCACATGATGTTGAGTTCGATGACTTTTTTTAGTGACATTATACATGTAGTCGTTCTTTCAGATTACTTATTTAACACAAAATGACTCGAATTTGGACACTAATCTGGTATTGGTCTTTACTTATTTTACCATTCACAGCTATGATCACATTCGTTCTAACGTTGGTAGTATGCAGACAAGTCTTAAGAAACAACGCATGGTCAGGAGTGAAGCTGCCACACATCTCTGTACTTGGAACCGGTCCTGCTTATAATTATTTTGTTTCTGGCTTTGCCATTTTAACCCCACAATTTTTATTGATTCTTATTGGTCGACTGCAATTTCTTTGTCAATCTCAATCTATCCTTCATCGCACTATTCTGTATGCTATCCATGCTATAGCACTTATCGCATCCGCATTTCTTCTGATTATGGCCATCGTGAGCTTAGATCATAATATTCCTCTTCACTTGACTGGTGCTATTGGAATGTTTTCACTTCTTTCGACGTATTGTTCCTTGCATACCATCGTTGTTTTCTATCTCTTTATGCGACCATTGAAAGTACCTCAACATTCGAATATTCTTTGGCCATTATGGTTTCTTGTC